CTGCTCCCTCTTCCTCTTCTTCTCCTCTATCCATCCATCCACCCCACTCTTGACCTCTCGTCCCCCTTTCCCCTTGCAACCTCCACATCACTCTCTCTGGCTGCGTCTCTCTCTCTCTCTCTCTCTCTCTCTCTCTCTACTTCTTCTCTTCTCTCTAGGAGTTGAAGGAGTTCAGCTGGGATCAGGTAAGGATCAACTGCACCTTTTTTTGAAAAGTCTGAGCTAACATGACATGCTGTATATTTCTCAGGAATTGCATGTCTAGTGGGACTATCCGCAGTGAGTCATGAGCTGCTGACTTGCACCACTGTCAGATATCAAGCCAAGCATGAATCAGTGTTGATCATCTGCGGTTGTCCCCTCCAGATACTCTCCGGCAATAGAAAGCACGGGGGGGTGGGCAACGACTGGCTGCCCAGCCTGGGCCTGCCACAGTATCGCAGCTACTTCATGGAGTCCCTGGTGGATGCCCGCATGTTGGACCATCTGACCAAGAAGGAGCTTAGAGGACAGCTCAAAATGGTGGACAGCTTCCACAGGTAGAGCTCTGCTCGTGCACGCCCACTCTCATTCACACCCAGAACATGTTTGTCATTTTTCATTCTTTATGTTGACTCTGGGTCTTTGTGCTGTAAGGCATGGGAAATATAAAGGTCCATGTAGGCAGAGTTCCTGTTGTTGTGACACTGTTCAGGTATGTGCCTCCTGGCCCTCTTTATGTTCAGCTTTGAAAGGAGCTGCAGGGTCAAACACCTTGGATTGTGTTAATGCTTTCTGAGTGCAGGTCAGAGTGGAAACACACACTCATTTAACCTGTTTGAAGTGCTCACCCTCTGGCTCTCTGAACTCTCCCAGGGTCAGTTTGCATTATGGCATCATGTGCCTGAAGCGTCTGAACTATGATCGCAAGGAGCTGGAAAGAAGGAGAGAGGAGAGCGCCCACCAGAATAAAGGTGAGCACGTTTTCTCTCTGCCACAGATGGTGGTGTACAGTCCCCTGTCTCTGTCCATTAAACTAATTTCTCTGTTCATGCTTTGCTATCGTCTTGTTCAAAGTACACATTAGTGATTACTAGATAAACCTTTACATCTGTATCCAGGTAATTACTGCTATTATTAACCTGTAATTTTTTTTTTATTACAGAGTATTATTACATCTTGTCAGTTTATTCATTTGTCTGTTATCCATCCATCCATTCCTTATCCATACCGTTTATCCTGAACAGGGTCGGGGTGGGGAAGTGGGGGGGCTGGAGCCAATCTCAGTTGACATTGGGCGAGAGGCAGGGTCCACCCTGGATAGGTCGCCAGTCTATCACAGGGCTGTCACTTAGAGACAAACAACCATACACACCCATACTCACTCCTACGGGCAATTTAGAGTCACCAGTCAACCTAAGTTGTGTGTCTTTGGACTGTGGGAGGAAGCCGGAGAACCCGGAGAGAACCCACACAGGAACAGGGAGAGCAGCAAACGCCACACAGCCAGGGCTTGAACCCGGAACCTTCTTGCTGTGAGGCGACAGCGCTAACCACCACATCACCATGCCACCCCAATTTTCTGTTGTATTTATTAGTAATGTTATTTATTTAACAAATGAATTACATAAGCAATTAATTACCTATTACCTACTAGAAACCATATCCCTTTAGTCATCATATAATGATTTAAGTGGAGCTTTTGGATTTTGCCCACGGGACCATTACAATCTTATGATTATACTGTTTTTTTTTTTATTAATCAGAATCTGAAAGGTAACTAAAGTTATCAAATAAATGTAGTGGAGTAAAAAGGACAATATTTGCCACTAAAATTTAGTGAGGTTCAAGTATGAAGTAGCAGAACATAAAAAAAATACTCAAGTAGAGTACAGATGCCTCAGAATTTTTACTTAAGTTCAATACTTGGGTCTATGTAATTAGTTTGTTTCCACCAGTGAAAATATCAACACTGGTATAAGACAGCACTGTTAAACCTAGAGTAAAAGCATTACTAGGAATTAGTCTTACACTGTATATAGCCTGGGACATATTGACAAAAATGTGATATACATGTCAATAAATCTATGTAATTAATAAATAATTGTAGAGCTTCTTGTTTATTTGACTGTGAAAGAAGAACTGAATGTCTATTAAAAAGGTCTTAAATAGTCTCACATATAACTTAGTGAACATTTTCAAAACACTGTGACAACACGTCTCCCTGCTCCAAATCAAGCTGCTAGTAGGAGTAACATTTGCTCTACTAGATTTAGGAAGATCTTCAAAAGCACATTGACATAAAACTAGAAAAGAAATTCTTCTTACTTTTGATTCACATCAGGAAACCATAGAAAATCATTTATTTTGTTACATCAACTGTAGCATATGAAATATATTTGCCTCGGTCAACAATTATTTTTTAAAACCTCACAAACTTTACATTGGCAAACAAAACAAACATTTCTACAGTCTCCCACACTGCTAGCAGATGTTTAGATCACCCTTTTGTTACTGCTCCCCCCATACTCCCCTGCTCATACTTAGAAGAGATTATAAACCACAACTTTCTCGTGCAGTTTGGCTGGATAATGATTGCATAAATGTCAACACGCTGTCATTAAACAAACCCAGATCTCTCGCTCTCCCACCGCGTCGCCTGGAGATACACATGTTGCACATTTACAGTCAGTTCATCTTGGCTCATTTCCCCACTGAAGAATTTCCCAAGTGAGGAAATTAGTGAGTTTTGGGTTTGTCTGATGATGTACTTGACCTGTGCAGACCAGAAATAAATCAGTAAAGCAGGAACATTTCACCGATTCTCTTGACCCCTTCAGAAGACTGTAACAAGCCCAAAGAGACCTGCATGTTTCATCCAGCTTAAACTTCAGGAAGTGACCAGAGTATTAAGAAACCTGATCTGTTTTTACAAAACAGTGGGCAGACAGTTTGCTGTTTGTAGATGAATGCCTCCTCTCCCTCCCTTCACCTTCTCCTCCTTTCCTCCCAGATGTGATGGTGTGGTCCAACGAACGGGTGATGTGCTGGGTGCAGACTATTGGCCTGAAGGAGTACGCAGACAACCTTCGTGAAAGCGGCGTCCACGGGGCTCTGCTGGCTTTAGACGACACCTTTGACTACACTGATCTGGCCCTGCTGCTGCAGATCCCCAATCAGAACACACAGGTAACAGACAGGTTGTCAGAGGTCACAGATGAACATGCTTTTCATAACTACAACTAATTAGAGTCATTTTTAAAGGCAGATATTTTAGGCACAGAGATCCCCTGCAGACTTGTTTTTCATATGATTATTATTATTATTTAGCTATTTTTATTTAAGAGCCAACAGTATAGAGAGACAGGAAACAGGAAAGGATGACAGGATGGGAGTACGACATGAAACAAAGGGTCCCAGCCCAAATCGAACCACCTTCTATCTAAGAGACTTTAAACAACATAAACAACAGCCCACATTAACTTTACCGCTCAAGTCTTTTTGTCTAACTTACAAACATGAACACTGTTTTTGTTTCCAGATTTTTTTACTTACCCCTTATATTTTTTTACTTTGTTTCTTGTACTCTAGTGTTGTGATGATGTCGGTTTCCCTGTTGATATGTCTCCCCCTTACCTTTACCTGAGTCTAACTTTATTCCTAGCACCTAACCACTCCTCTTCTGCTGTACTTAACCTGACCCCAGCCTCACCCTAACTGCTAACCAGTCGTATTTGTGGATTTTTCTACAAAAACATTCTATTACTTTGTTAAAAATTCACACATCTTCTTCTCCTTCTCCCTCAATGAAAGATCCAGAGCTGTTGAGCTTTTTTAGCTAAACATGCCTCTGAGTGTACAGTTTGCACATCCCACTTGTCATATTGGATCATTTTGGCTTCCAAACTAGTTGGAATGTCACAACATCACACTTTTATGCAAATGTTTTAAGCTTGAGGTGAACACAGAGAAACTTTCCTCCTTCCTCTGCTCATTCATTATTCTGTACAGTGAAGCTCAAGTGAAGGGACAATAATCATAACACATTTTTGAAGGGCAGGAGGTTTTAAATTACCATTATCCCTATAAAATATCTTTCAGTTTGGTTTTAGAACCCCTTAATTGAATTATTTTTAGCTTTAAACCCTTTTTAAATTGTATTTCATTTTATACAATTTACACTAATGACTGGAGCCATTACTGGTTTTTGTCATGCCAGGTTTTTGTTTTAAACCAATACTTCTGAGCTTCAGATTATATAATCTTTTTGGTTCAGAATCATTAAAAGTAACTCACTAACTTAGGAGTTAAGACGCCTGGGTTTAAGTCTGGGACCTTTGTTGTTTTTCTCTCTGCATCATTTCCCATCACCTCTCTGCCATCTAGAATTATAGTCTTAAAATGCCCAAAAATATTTCATACTTTGCTACAACTGCATTGGTTTGAAGCAGGCATGATATCCAGACATGAAAACCAGCATCACAGACTCATCCTAAATACATGTCATCTTTCCAAGCTAACCTGAAAGCTCTACGTCACCTCTCATCTGCAGGCCCGACAGCTCCTGGAGCAAGAGTACAACTCCCTCATCTCCATGGGAACGGAGAGACGACCCGATGAGGTCAGCATGCTAATCGGCTTGAAAAGCGGGCTACACAGTTACTAAAGATTTGATGGATTTATGTGATTGTTTTCTGGAGCAGACACCTTTTTGTTCACATGCTCTGTCTGTCTGGCAGGACGGAACTAAGACGTTCACTCGCTCGCCATCCTGGAGGAAGATGTTTAGGGAGAAAGACCTACGGGGCGTGACCTCTGACTCCGCCGAGACCTTGCCGGCTAACTTTCGTGCCTCAGCCATCTCAACACCCTCAGTCACCCTGAGAAAGGTTCAAAGTGATGGTGAGTACAATCCGCATTTGTTCAGCTTCTCTGAGCCCTTGAAGTGTGTCTCAGTTTAGACGTTGTGTGAAAACCTGCATTACTCACTTAAAGAGCATGACGAGACTCCAGGAAAAAGTTATGCTGTAGCTCAGGTGCAACTGTTCTGCAGATCTTATAATAAATGAGCCATGTATTTATATCTGTATTTGGAAATGAGCCTTGAACAAAAACATTTTTCTTCAGTATGCAATATACAAGTTGCCCTGCAAATGTCACATGCAGAGAGCTGTTTGTTTTCACGCTACTCTGCCAGTATGGCAGTGGAATTTTCTGTTTCCTTTAGCAAACAAACTGGCAATAACAGGGAACAAACACTTTAAAGTGCAGAGGAAGACTATTATCCCTCATTCCGCTTCTTAATAGGAAAGTCTTTAGAAGGTCAGTGCTGTTTAAGACACTGAAGTTACGATAATGACCCCCACCTGTGTGCATCTCCTACACAGCCAGCTCTGGTGCCCGGGGTGAATCTGCCTCAGTGAGGACATACTCCTGTTGAGGGGCTGAGGTGAGAACCATCCACCGTCTTAATAGAACTGTCTAGTAGTGTTTTATCCATGTGTTTCTAAGTTTCCAAAATGACTTGCACATGTGGCAAACATTTCTTTGAACCTTGTTGTTTGATGTATTTGTTTGCTGTAGTGGATTGGTATCAGCCTGGGATTTTAGTAGTTTCCCTAAGGTCTTTAAATAGTGGGTTTAGTTTAGGCACAGACAAATAAATGCCACAGAGGCAGTGATGTGGGAATAATACTGTTTCTTTCCTCAGGGCATTGACTGGATTGGGACTTAAAGGACCCTCTCGCTCATCCACGGAGAAAGAAGCAATGAATATAACCATTTAACTTAAAAATAAATCAATCGGTCTGACCATTCTGCAATAACAGAAGCAAAAGAGCAAAGGGGAAAATGACAAAGAATGTATGAACGTATTTTCCGAGCAGATTAGGAATGTCAGATGGGATTAGCTGTTTTCTCACTCTGTCTCTCTCTCTCTCCCTGTCATTCTGTCTTTGCTCTTTCTCAGCGTGACGACGACAGTGTTGTTTACATTTGCGCAGGTTGTGCAGGTTTCCCCTCTCTTCATTCCTGTCAGTATCTGCACACAGTCAGCAGAGTTGGCAATATCAGGGCTTATTTTCCTACCTGCAGAAGAAACCACTTGCTGCCATTTATTCTTTTACAGAATGACAACAACTAAATGTCACCTTACAATTGCTGGTCAACAACCAGAGTCAGCATTACAGTAAATTCTGGATTTTAAAAACAAGAGGACTGGGAGTATATTTAAATTGTGAAATGATTGGGGAAAACAGCTAGACGGACATAAACATGTTGCAGCTCGAAACGATACTGATGTTCACCTTTCTACTCACAAGTCGGTCGGTGCCCAGTGTCAGCCATTGTGGCTCTGTTATTTGATCCTTCTATCGGGGGATGTATAAGTGTCTCCAACTGGTCAGAGCAGTGTAGTAAAACACATCCAAATTCAGGCCACCATTTACTGTAGCTCTGACCACATCAGAGGGACCCTCCTCGTGCTTTGTCTGTTGGCACCTTGAAAGTTGATATGCTGAGTAATCTCTTTTGATGGGAATCCATTATAGAGATCAAAGGCACAGAGGTGGATGAGACAGGGTGGAGCGAGGCCACAAAGGCATTGTGTTAAATGATGACAGGAAATCTATAATGATAGTGCTGGTGCCACTTTCTAAATGACGTTCTTTACAAGGGGTTTATCCATTCTTTACAACTTTTGGCTTTAATGACGTTAAAGGGGAACCTGGGTTTCGTTGCCTTCGGCTTGAGACATACGTTTTGTAACAGATATCTTTTTTCAAATGGGGTTTAAAAGAAGTGGGCATTTAGAAGATAGTGGGATTAATGAAATGTTTTTGTGTGGTATTGAAAGTGTGGGATCCGGTATTTTTGGCACATGACCTGTACTAAAGACTAAAAGTCAGGAAATCTTCGCCTCAGCTACTTTATAAAATCTGACTCGTGTCTCAAATGCAATATGAAATCGCTGGTGTACTCATTTAATATATCATTTATTTATGCTTTGTAGATCAGTAATAAGCTATTAATACTAGAAATTTAATTTGATCTAGGTCTTTAGTTCAAACACTTACAGAGCTTTCTTTAAAAAAATCAATTAACATCTATAACTATAGACTTGGTGACTTAGTAGGAAGTGCATCATTTAAAAAGTGACAATTTTCTAATTTTTTTAGCTATGGTAGTGGCATGTCTCATGAGATGGCAGTGTCAGTTGCTCCACTGCTGAGATCTAGTCTGAATTACCTCAACAAGTAGGAGGTGGAGTGTAAAGAAATTTGGTTCGGCTATCCATGGCCGGTTCATTATTCCAATAGGCTGGCAATCCCCTCACCTAACAAGACCATCAAGTCAGGGATGTCAAGGGGTCTTCAGATTGTATAATACTGTGGTTTATGACCAAACATCAAATGTTTGCATGTTAACGCACTAAGCTATGATGGTCAAGTATTATTAGTATACCTGCTAAACATTAAAGCTACAGTATGTAACTTAGGGTAGCGTTAGCATGAAAGTCCAAATCAATCCACTCTGCTCCGCCCAGCACTCCCTCTCCCTGCTCCACTGTGCTCTACTACGATATGCTATACTCTGCCACGCTGTGCCCAGCTCTTCAGATGTTTATCCTTATGAAAATACAGAAAATGAGAATGCAGTGAAATGTAACTGAAAATCTCTGATTGGTTAGAGAGGTCAGTCCTCTTCAAAACCTTTTAGAAGCTAATGTCTCTGTACTGCTGCCAGTTTGCTGGGTCACAGGAGGCTTCGACAGCACCTCTCCACGTTAAGGCAGGTTTTGGAGCAGATTACTACAACAAAAATATTTGAAAAAAGTTGCATACTGTAGCGTTAACATTTACATTCTCACTCTGAGCATGTTAGCATGTGACTAATGTATGGCTAAGTACAGCCTCACATAGCAGCTAGCATGGCTGCAGATGCTTTGTCTTGTAAGTCATTAGCAAAGGGTTAGTTGATAATAAATTGATATAGGTCTTATTTCTCTTATTAATGAATTAAAGAGCTGGCTAACAAGATGATGCAAGTTATTGTGGAGGGGATTACACACAAGTTTTTACACAACCCAGCAATACAAAACTTTTACGGTTTAATCGCTTATACCTGATCTACTGTAAATTATGTATTAACTTACAAAATGCCATTATTTAAGAATGATAAACTCTTTGTATATAAGTATATCTTATTAGAAAGTGGTATCAAAGTTTTAAATCTATTAAGAAAGATGTCTTTGAAGCCAAACTCAAATTCCTGACTAGCCCTCCATGATGTCGTTCTATGGTTATTGACTTGTAACCATCAGCTCAGGGCCTTAGGTAAACCTGATGATGGGAGGGGGTGACAGAGAGCGACCCAAATGGAAGAAAGACAAAAAAGAGAGAGAGAGAGAGAGAGAGGATGGACAGAAGCCGGTTATTTTACTGCACACACAAGCCATAACAGAAACCAGGAGCTCTCTCGGGGGTGAGATCAGAGAGAGGCAGGAAGAGAGGGGCGAGTCCAAGGAAGCCCAGGACACAAAACCTTTAGCCTCTGTGTTTACGATGCATGTCAAACAAAAGGCAATGTCCTAAAAACATCCTTTTGGTGGTGAAGATGATTTGAGTTGTCGTTAAGACAAATATCTATCTGTATGATAAACCTACAGGGAGTGGGAGCCTGGGGATCAATTTGTAAAATGTGTGTATTTTTTTCAGTTGTATTTTTTATTTTTTATGATAACTATTTATTTTCTTTAGGTATGTATTGGATAAATGTATGTACATGTTCCGTTCCTTCTTGACTTCATTTGAACTAGTTTTAAAAGTAAATATGAAACACTGAAAATGGTCATTCAAATACGCTAATGTATGTGTACATTTTGAGAACAAATTGTGCAATGATTTGAGAGATTTCCATGATTAAAAGTGATAGTAATACTAAAAATATCATCTGCAAAATAAACAATAATGATGATGATAATGAAAATGGTGATGTAAAAGAAAAAAATAAAGCGATCCAGGTGGATCGGTCTATCATCGCAAACATTCTCTTTTTTTATTTTCCCCATTGATTTGTTTTGTTGTACTGTCCTTCAATACAACTTCGAGATACTTGTATTTTGAGTATTTCCCAGATTACCGCGGTAAGCTGCATGAAATGTACTAGTCATGATTAGAGTTTTTAGCTGATAAATCCCAGGCTGCTTAGAGAAATAAACTGCTCATTTGTATATGTGGATCAGCTGAGATATACAAGAATAATGAGTACAAAGATCCTTTATTACCACATTTGGCAGGCAAACTGAACAAACCAGCAGATGGTAAAATTACCCTTGTTTAGGTGTTGTACAATTACAAACCACGTGGTATTCCATTCATGAACCACATTTTACAAGATCCACAGACGGAGATGTCTCCTGTTATGACGCTACTGTATCATCAGCCTGACTGAAATCATGCTAGAATGTGCCCACGCTGTAGTTTGTGTATCAAATATATTTTCCCCATCACACTGTAAAAGTGCAGTGTGGAGCAGTAAAACAGAGCCTCACTAGGTGGCGCTCCTTCCTCTCACAACCTGAACGCACCAGAAGCTGGAATTATCATCAGACACTGGAGAGACCTACCACTCCATGAAGACTTCTTCTATAAATACACACAGTTATACATAGCTTCATACATAAAGGTATACTGGTGTCATACACATATATAAAGGAATATATTAATAATATTAATATCAAAGACATACACATGCTTACATACTAATCAAAAATAACTTAGATTATGAAAGATGAATCATACAAAAACAGTACTTTTTAAAGTAAAATCTCTATATATATGACAATTTCCCTAAGATCTGTTATTGAGGTCTTCTTGTTTTTTTCAAAAGTCCTTTGAAGTTGTGGTGGAGGGAGGGACTGGAAAAGCGAGAAAACCTGTGGATTAAGGCAGGAATAACGTCCATCTTTTTAAGGAAACCAGCAAGTGAAAGTGCACCCAGAAGGATGCCACAGCTGCTCTGCTCTGTGTCACTTTCTACTTCTTGACATCTCACTCAACCTCCTGTCCCTCTCTCAGCCTCTCCCCTTCCTTGTCAACAACTCCCTCCCCGGTGTCTGATTCGCTCTGGACAGCAGCACACAGACGCAGGATGAGTCGATGCGGATCCACCTCCATCCGGTTCTGTTGTCTGCGCCTTTGGTGAGTGCTCGGACATACGACTGCTTGGCTTTACACTCACTCAACCATTGTTTTTTATCCACATCCAAGCAGCCGGCCCCGGCTACGCCTGTCCCCAGGGATTTTGCTGCTGCACCAGCACCCCTGGATCCTCCAGTATTGCTCTGCTGCTCGGGCTGGCGGCAGCGGGTCTCATAAAAGTACTGTTTGAGAGGTCCCGTCTGAGTCTGGATTTCCTGTAAAATGGTGACCTGCTGACCGTGGAGGTCGATGGCGGTCTTCTTGTCAGTAACCCAGCCACTTTCTGACTCACACACAGACTTTTCCCCTCTCCTTCTGTCAATCGAGTGTGAACGTTTATCTCTTTTAACAGGATGGGCAACCTCACTGATAAACCTGGGAGAGTCTGCCCAACTCGGCGTCGTGCTCCTATCGAGGGCTCGGTCCCCATGACCCTCGATGTGTCCGTCCATGTCTTCCTGCTCCTCGCCATCCCTGTCCTCCTCCAGCATGCCAGTCTCCAACATCAGCAGCAGGGGGGGATGTTCTGGAGGTGACAGGGAAGGTGAGAACAAGACTCGTGGATGTGCATCCAGAAACATCTCGTCTCCCTCTAGGATGCTGTCAAGCCCGGTTCCCAGACCCAGCCCTGCCTCCAGGGTTAAGCTTGCCTCAGCCAGACCTCTTCCAGCACTCTGTGTCTGCTTACTCCTCATCCTGACTGTTGGTACACCTCTCAGGCGCTCTGAGGGAACAGTCGGTTCTGGTCCTCTGTGAACCTTGAGTGTAGCAGCAGGACTGACAGTATGGTTTTCCACTCCAGAAACCTGCAGTGGTCTACCCTTAGAGTCCTGAAGATTATCCTTCCTTGAAAAGTCAACAAAACTGGAGGAGTCTTGAAGGCTGTTGCTGTCTGCGTTGTAGTCCTTTGTTAGAAAATTATCCTCAAAAATACCCTCAGTCTTGAGAGTTCCTCTTTCGGTGGGAACATCCAAACTGACACTGCTTCTGCCATCGCTGCCTGATTTGCTATTTGACTGGTAGGTTCCTTGACTCTGCGCTTTTAATGTGTAAGTCTCTTCATGTACGGAGGATTTCACATAATCCTTATGGTTCTGGAGGTTGTGTTTGTTGGTGTGCTGGCTAAGAGCAGCAGGTATGTTGTAGTCCATTTGTGAGGCATTTCCATGGAAACTGTAGTCCACAGGTGAAACTGCAAGGCGAGCAGCCGGGGCATGATCATGCTCTCTGCGGCCATCAAAGCTAGGCTCTGTCGTCGCAGCGGTAATCCTGGACACTGGGTTGTGAGGGAAGGGCAGGGCCGAGGCAATCACCATGGCAACCAGGGGAAGCCAGAGCATCACTCCCAAGACGTATCAGCTGGTGGTTCATAGAGAGGAGACACAGGAAGAGAGAGAGACTGTATTATTTTACACAATGCATATTGTGGCTTAATAAAATGTAAAATGAGAGGTTTTATGGGTGCTTGCAGCTTTATGACCATGGTGCTTTAAACTGCAGAAGTATGGCTTTAAAATCTTGGCAGAACTTGTGGAAAAATAGGACAACGCACAGCCAGGTCGGCCCTCTGCTCCTTCGTGTGGGCAGACAGAGTTCAGCTACGAAAGCTGTAGATTCTGCCATCTGAAGGGTTGACCTTCAAATGGAGACACTGACAACATGGTATGTGTGCATGTCAGATGCTTTACAGCCAAAAAGAAATTCAAAAGGCATCTGCAACCTTAGGAAACAGGCCTTCCCTTTCAGCTTTCAAGGACAAGAGTGTTTCTTTTTTTTTTTTAGTTTTCTTGTTGCAGCTTTTTCAAGGATTCAAGAATCTGGGAATGTTTTTGAATCTGTGGTAACAAACATGGTTTGCATTATGTCTACTTGCCAAAACATTATAAGAAAGCATGACAGCACTGCTACTGTAGGGTAAACCTCCAGTATCCTGTGTGATCAAACCTGGGCTGTGGGTGAATTTCTTCTTCTTTGGAAAGGTGATGCCTGAATATGATATTACATCTGTGGTGTTGGATTAGAAGACTTGTGCTTACAGTGCAACCATCAATATTGTAAACATCCTGCCTGCCGTAACCTGCATTATCCAAACTTTATGCAACTTGTAATCACAAAAAGATTAGTGGTTAGATTTTGTGTAGCAAAAATATGAAACAAATACCGCAGAAAATCTTCTTAATAATTATTGTAGAGTCTTAGTAATGAAACAGTAGGTTTCATTGGCAATAAAAAAACATGTAGGGCATGTTACTACAATGTAAATAAAAGTGTATTTTAGAGCAGCAACTATTAGCAACTATCTTTGAAATTCAATATCTTTGGAGACTGAACTGCTGAACATATAAAATGTGACATTGGAAGATCGCCCTGGGCTCTGGGAAACTGAGACAGACATTTTGCACAGTTTTATGCTTTTTTTTTTTATAAACCAAACAATTAATTCATAAAGAAAATAATCATCAGGATTAATAATTAATTAGTGCATGACTGATTGATTGAAACTAAATGATTTAAATACATATTAAAAATTGCACAAGTTATACATTTAAAACTTTTAGTGACACAATTAGTGTGAGGCAAATGTGATCACTTTAATACAACAAAGAGATACATTCTTTTCTCTTAATTGGTCCATCCTAGACTATGTTAAACAGTCACATGTTAAAAGTCATTAAAACCACTATTACAAAACTCAAATAAAACCCTCCTTCCTGTAAGCCACATGTAAACACTTCCTGACATGCAGAAGACTTTTCAGGTGCATTAGTTTGTCATGCCTGACATCATTTGGATGAAACGAAAATCATGAGTCAAGCACAGATGATTCATTCGTGTTTCAAAGTGAGGTCCACCTGTGACTAAGTGGAAAAGTATTCCAGTCACCCATCCATGTGGCATGTACAGTTAGACCATCAGTTTAGTTATTTGCTTGAAAGCAGGGAGAAGGTCATTTGGAAAGACTTAAAATAGGTGGAATGATCAGAATGTCAGTGATGCAGCTTTACTGGCAAGGCTCCTTCATGGTTTCCTTAGGCAGCGAAGGAAAAAAAAAAACAAGCAGGGCAACAGAAAGTAAGTGTGAAGGTGGGGATGCCATAACTGTTTTCATGTTTGCTGCTTGTGATGTGTTTGTCTCTACGGAAAGTGACTGAGCAGATGTTTCATCAGTGACCATCAGTGAGTGTGTGCTAACGTGAATAAGTACAACACAACCCTGTCGGTGAAAAGGACCTGTGCTCAGCAGGGCCGCACCCTAGGTATAATGCAGCCGCCAAAGAGCAGCAAACGTTTGGTTGATACATCACTGACACAGTCACCTCGGGTGCTCAAAGTGCCTGCTTGTCATGCTGCTGATAAATCACATCAAAGTGCATGATTGAGCTTCCTGTTTGCTCAGGCTACTGATCCACATACTGGGCCTGCCAAATAAATCCGGGTGTTTAGTGTGATGAAAGCCGATTAAACGGTGAACCTGGCTGTTAACACACCCCTCAAACATGGTGAGGCCAGCCAAAGGCAATTAAAGCCTTGAGACACAGTGTGCAAAGCTATTGTGAACACGGTCTGCTGAAGCTAAAAGGGAGGAGAAGATCAAGGAGGTGGTACAGGGTGAATATCCAGAAAAAATGTGGAGCATTTGTATTACGTGAGCGCGTGTTGTAGCAGGGTTATATGCTTCTTAAGGGCTTTCTCGTTGCACTCAGGCACCACACACAAGGCAGGCCAGGCAGACTCTCTGAGTGGTTTCTTTGCAAAACAGCAGCAGCACTTCATCACCATGCTCCATTTGCTACAATGACATGCATCATTTGAGTTCCCTGCAAGGCTAGACAAGGACCACTTCGTTCTTCCGCCCTCTGGACCAGAACCAAGCACATTGACTCACCCACCCCCCGCCCCCGGCACACATACACACACGGATCCAAATCTCTCTAAAGCCTCACTTAGTAAATAAAACCCCACTCAACTTAACACACTTATGTTAATCCTAATTTCTGTGGTCTGAAATTTTTTCCAAAATGAGAACAGGAAGAATACCCTGAAATCACAGTAGAGAGCTAACCAAGCAGGCAGAAACCAGCTCATACTGCAAAAATGCACGAATAAACAGGCTAAAGGTAACTAAACAGACTAAACTGTAAGGCCTGCATGAACTATGGAGGCTCCCGGTATCACTTGGCATCGATTATGAAGCCCTTTTGGCTGCATATTTATTTCTAAATAGCTTTGGACAGACTACAGAACATTTCAGTGTCCCTGTTTTTAATGTGTCTTCACTTTCACTCAAATCCTTCCTGATTAGATGTTCAGAAACAGTCTGAAGAAACCTGAAGCTGCAACTTGTTTCAACCCTTTTCCCAGAAGGTGCAATTCCCTAAAACTGCCAAAAGATATCAGTGAACATTTTTAAGTGACAGCTTCACAAAGATCTATTTCAATTTGTTTTCCACTAGGTCTCTTAACATTAAGTGTTTTCCAACCTCTGTGTCATTATTTAGTATTTTAGTTTGACGGTTTCTAGTTATTATATGATTCTTATTTCCTGTTTTCTTGTATCTCCATATTTTAAAGTGCTTTGAGCTACTTTTTTGTAGACAGGCTGCCATATAAAATAATTAGGGCTGCTAACTATTATTTTTTATTTTTTTAACAATCTGCTGATTTATTTATTGATTAATGGATTAATCGTGTATATACCATCAAAATACCTATGCAGTGGATGGCGATGCCATCAGATTTCTTGTTTTATTTCACCAACAGTCCAAAATTCAATTAAATTACATGTGTTATAGTATAGTTTAGTGTTAGATGAGGGAAAGCAAGTAATTCTCACATTTGAGACATTTGAACCAAAGAAAGTTTGACCTTTTTTAACTTAAGAAATGACAAATGATTAAGTGATGTTCAAATTAGTTCTCTTGTTCTTTAATTAATCAATTAAATTAACTATTTTTGGATCTCACAAATTATTTTTCTTTACTACTAAGCCACTTTAAACAAGCATGAAACAAACCCACTTGTTGTGAAGCTACTACAGAGACTTGAACCCTGAAACACAACATACTTGAACACACGGAGAAACACGAGAGGGAAATGTTTGTTCACTAAATCTGGCACCTGGTAAATTGGTTTGGCTTTTTTCTTCTCAGTGCTGCCTGTGTGAACCACAGAGATTTAATCCAGATGTGAGAGCAAGAGTGAGGGAGGAAACAGGCGGAACTGAGGGGCTCTGGCTGTGAGACATTCCCCATAGCAGCTCCACACCTGGTGGCTTCTGTGTTATTAAGCCTGTTTAACAAATTGATCCCTTCCCATGTGTGACTAATGTCAGACATGTCCATCTAACAGAGACATAAAGCATTTTGAGTTAGTGTTGGGACTGGGGTCCAGTCATAATCCTGCTTCTTTGAAGAAGTGTAGCCTGAAGACTAATGGGGTGCAAGACTGCTTGACGTCAGATGATTGGAGAAAGTTTTTTTTTAACAGTTTGCACCTCACATTGCATCTTGCAGCAGATTTTGCCACAGCTTCAGTCTGACTAAGCTGTAACATATGTGAGCGTTATCATTACAAACAGTGGCAACAAGAAAGCCTGTGGAAAACACATGCAGGTAAACATTTGTCTTTCTTCTATCTGGATAGGTACAGTGAAAGCCTTGGCCTCACGTGCTCAATTACAGTGCCTTGCTGTCCCACTGTGCAAACAGAACATTAATTCCAGGCCTGTGATCGTTTCACACCAAGCTCAGTCTGTAAGATCGCGTCCCCTGCTCTCTAACCTTGGCTCTATATCTGTGACATCTCTCTCAAATCACTTGTAGATCTTGAAATAGGTCTTTCACACACAAAAGCTGACCGAAATTTGACTTCCTAGAAAATGTAGGATCTGATACTAAATAAAATACATTTTTTTGTGATTCCTTCACTTGCACCAAAAAAAACAACCTTCCCACACAGCTTGTTCAGTACTGTTAACAATATTGACTTAAAACATCCGCTGCAGGTAGAAGCAACCTGTGTGATCTGCCTGTAGGTTTGGACTGTGACTCTGTAGCTCTCACCTCGCCTGACTGTCAACAAAAACAAAATGATATAACTAACAGGAAAAAAATAGTGTGGGACTGGTGAGTGCTCAAAATGTCTTGGTGTCTTATCTTGTTTGTGCACAGGACAGAGGAAAGGGTTGTTAAATGGGATTCAAAACTGCACAACATTAAATTCAGTTTTTAGGTACAGTATGTCAGCTATGTCTTCATGTATGAATGTACTAGGGCTGAGTGAGAGATAAGCAAGAAACTGCATGCATAACGAACTGACTTAATTTAATAGGCTAACTTAGGTTTGTTACACTGTGTAACTCGTAGTCTATCAATAACTTAATGGGCATATGTGTGTGTGTTCATTGCTGTATGCTGAATATACTGAAAGGATTGCATGTATAATATAAATCCATACCGTTTAGGTGAGATCCGGACCCCACGTCCTTCCAGCTGACACCACATTGATTATAGAGTCCTGTCGCCAGTTACTCAACTGGTTTTAAAAAAAATGAACTAAAAAAACGCCTTCGCATTGTAAGCAAAAAACGAATGGCAAACATTTCTTTCTTCTTTTAATACTCCGTGACATCGCATGTGGCCCCCAAAATCAGACGCGGAAAAAATAGAAAGCGAAGCAGTTACAAACCAGAAGAGCTTCTTGTGCCCTGGGAGCGCGTCTACTATGAAAAAAAAGACAGCACTGTATGTAGTAAGCCCAGAAAAGTATCAAAAATGAAAATAGGCCTTGAAATGTTGATATCCTTTGAGTTGTTAGTTCTCCAGGGTAAGCCAGGGGTACGGTATGTCTGTTCAAATATGTGAACGAAGAAGTGGAGAGGTGAAAAAGCTGGTCAAATGTTTTAAGATCTGAACTCCGCCTGAAACGCGTTGTCGGACAAACGGTTAAGCTCGCGCGTGTAAAACAAAAAAAAAGGAGGGCTTTTGGTCCAACTTTCACAATAAAACAAATGTTGAGCAAAGTGTGTTGCGATGTAACGTTTGACTAGCAACAGTGCTTTTATTTCAAAAACAACACAGCTATTTCCGGTTTAGTTTCTTGTTAGCTACTGCTAACTTGACAAGTTATCTACTACAACCTCTCATGGGAAGCGCAAAGACAAGACGAAGTTTAAGATCTGAACTCCGTTACAATGTGTTAACCCCCTGGGGTTAACACATTGTAAAGAGACATGCAACTTTAAACTAGTAGCATCTGTGAGAACAGCTAGGAATCATTCCCTGAACAGATTCATATAATATCAAACATTTATCCAGGGTTTAGTGTGCAAAGCTGTCAAAAAGTCACATTGACTGGCTAGTTAGCCACATTTGATACATTCAATTCAGAATCACAATCAGCTTTGTTGGCCAATTGACTGAAAACCCGTTTAATGAATTACCAGCAATGTAATCCCATATGATGGGAGTGCATTACGGGCTGGTAACAGAGCAAATTATCACAAACAAGTTGTAATGAAGCTGGATGGGCCTCGTCTGCAAGTGCAAAGGTGTAACCTAATCCCGTTTGGCACTATCAGACCTGGGGATGCAACCTTGTGATTGGATGCCAATTCCGAATCTGCGTTTCATATTGCTTCCTGTTGGCTTGTGTCGCATACTTTCGGTATGTGCTCACGCAGTGGCTATTTGACAGGTAAAAGTGTCTTGCTCAGGTTTGCTTTGACGGGATAATGTAGCTCTTATGACCTAATTTGCTATTAATAGGATATGCTTTCATTCTTTATAAAAGGTCACTGTATCAAAATTGAATTTGACACCTACAAAATGGTTTACAAAAACAAACAGACAATTTAGCACGTTCCATAACGTAAACAGGTTTCAGAAAGATACTTCACACTTTAGCGGGTTGCTTAAAAACTAGGTAAACTTTTTTTCATTTGCAGTGCAGTATATCCATTACCCAACACATTTTAACAAGCGACTTGCTAGTTTGTGTAGTATGCACAGTAGGGTATATGGCCCTCCCTTAATCCTAGCCCTGACCACTTAGAACCAACTTTTATCCACTCATACTGTATTTACTGACGCTGTGGGCAAAAATCAAACGATTAGTTTTTGGTGTGAAACTGGAGCTTCTTTAAATATTGCAACCCAGAACATTTGACTTGCTACAGCATCTTACTTTAGAAATTGGCATGTGTTTCATGATTATGCATGTCTAGATCCAAACATTTATGTTATTAATAACACATTAACTTCTCGGGATGTAATATATTGTTAATGGACGTTCTGTATTCTAACTTGCCTTGTGCACACTCAGCTATAGGTTATAAGCAACCTTCATGAACGTTGGGTGAGTGCAGGCTTGAAAGGATAGAATCAGGAGCTGGTGACTGGCTGTTCTGTCTGCTCACAGGTCTTTGGGGGAAAGTTGGAGAAGGCCCGGAAGAAACACAATAGAGGTCTATGGCAGACACACAGGCCGACAGCCAGTTCAGCGGGTCCTCGGAGCAGATAAGTTCACTGCTATTGACCTGCGAGAACAGCGCGTCCACTGAGCCTCCCCACCTTGAATGGCCTTGTTGAAAAGGAGAACCATAAATTGGTGGATGAGCAATGAGGGGGGAATACTCTGTCCCCCCCTCCCGGTTTATATCTCACCAAACCCCTTTCCCTCTGAATGTTTAAAAAGATGAAAGGATAAGGAAAAGAATGGAGACAAAAGAGGGGAGGGTTGTGTTACCACCTTGCCCCTGAGAGACTGCTCATGAAAGAGTTTGGGGATGGGAGAGATAGTGTCTGGAGAGAGACACAGGAAGAGAACAGGGATCATGAAAAGAGGTTTTTCAAACTCTAAGCTGCTAAAACGGGTCACTTCTGTATAGAGAGGCAGACTAAAGTAAAGTCTTCACTCAGGGATGGAGCCATTTAACACTGTCAATACCCTCAGATGGAAGGGAGCATTGATATACTCATTTCGCAAACACACACACACCCTTCCTCAATTCTTTGTTTTTCTTACCATACCCACCGTACAGTAGCAGCACTACAGAGAATCTTCCACTAGATCCTATTTACCATTAACTTGCTCAACAAAACACACACAAACACACTCCCTGGTGTCTCCCTTGCAGCATACCTCCCTCTTGGCATTTAGTGTCATTCACTGGAAATCCGTGCAACACTCCCACCATTCTCTCTGTCTTCTTCTTTGTCTGAACTTGCCCAGCATACGCTTAGATATTTCCACCCTAGGGTTCATCAGTGAGAGTTAGAGTGAGAGAGCAGGAGAAAGTTGTTACCTAAGTGTGGATGGTCAAACAGAGATGGTGACTCAAAGGGCAGGGACGTGCAAACGGCCCTTTTCCTTGGCTTTTGCCCTCTTCCGCTCCATTTCACTCTGTTGCAAAATGCACACGCGTACATTCAGACATGCAGAAGTAACCGCAGTAATTTCACAACCGAGGAGATATAGAGGTTTATTTAAGACAGGCATTCACAGAACAAGTTTTCCTGCATACTGTCACACTAGCACGTCCCATTAAAAGATTCCCTAAATCCACAAGACACCAAAAACCTTTAAAGTTCAGTCACATTACGTGGCAGGCAAATAATACAGTTCTCCACAGCGGTTTTCTGTTTTTGACAAAACGACATTTCATAACCCAAACACATTTTCAGAACTGTTATTAAAGTCCCACAGAAACAACACAGATGCTTTCTATGGCACAATCTTGTGTTGTACACGAGGAACTTGCAAAGCCTTTGGCAACTTTGGCTGTATTATCAGTTTCATTCTGTTCATGGTCCACCTTTTTGAATCGGTGACATCTTCAATCACTTCTCAGTGTTCTATAAAAACACAGTGTGGTGCTGTGAAGTTTCCAGATGTCACTTTTACTTTGACTCCTGTGATGAAATCTTTCCCCACGCAGTGCCATCAAATATCAACTTATTGCGTTCACGTTAGACATCCTTCTTCATTTGAGTTTTGGATTGAGTGTAATTGGAAGGTAGCTATTATGGCAATTATTGCAAATAGCTGAGCTGGGCTGTCAGGGTGAGGCTAATATTCTGTCCGTCCACCACCGAGCCACCAAATCAGACATCAGGCCTCAATTAGAGATCCTCGACCACCCCGAGGTAGTCGGTCTTCTTCGATTCTCTCCGTACCCTTTTCTTTGATTCTCTCCTCTGGATTTGTTGTACGTTTTCAGTCCTGTTCATCCTTCCGTTATTCATCTCACCTACTGAAGTTGACTCCTCCTCTTTGCCCTTAAATTCAAACGTCTCTCTAGTCTTTGCACCACTGTCGCCACCGTTACCACACACATACACACTGAGATATAGTGACATATGTTTCCAATTTCAGGCGTAATGCTCCTCTCTCTGCAATCTAACCCAATTAACTGGAGCCTTCTGGAAATGCCCCAGTCAGCAGGCATGGTGGCAAAGAGGTAAAGGGTCAAAGGTGAGGTCATTGATAGGGGGGGTCAGACTCTGATGAATGCGTCACCTCCTGTCCATCTGGCTCACAGTCTACCGTAGACGGCACTTTAGCTGCTGTCCGACTTCCTCGCAGACATGTTTGGAACAGGTGTAGGATTGTGCAGAAAAAGCAGCCTGAGCCTGAAATTACATTTCACAGCTTACTAAAGGTCAAAGGATGTGTGACAGGGTCTGGAGCCAGACCACATGTAAACACACAAACAGCACGCATGCACACTGAGGAAAGTACGCACGCACACACACATGCCTGTACCGACACATTGCCACTCTGACAAACAAACACACATGCGCCTACAAGTCTTTCCTGCATGAAACTGAAATTAGCGTATGGAATGTTAACCTTCGGGAAAACGGTTTGGGAGGGAGAGGGAATCTGAGAGCATCAGAGCTGCAAAGCCCTCATTAGAGGAATGGTAGACTAAGTTTGGTAATTCAGTTTAATGCTTAATGAGAAACAGGTTTCAATGGGCACAAAATGCAGACTGGCGCTGAGCTGTATTACCTGGCAGTCTGCCGCGCTCCAAGTCAGACTGTTTAGACTTTCTGTTGTGTGCAATGTCCGCATAGAAGCTGGGTCATTGTCAGTTTATGAAAAGGCTTCAGACGCTGCTGTACAGCTGTCGCCGCATGCACACACTCTGCTCGTCTTGTTTACATCGCCTGCACCGCCGAAGCCTCTTCCCTTACAGCGGCTTGCTCTCTCCCCAGATCGCCTCTCTATCTCCCCTTCTCCTCTCCTTATCTGTCTCGCCTCAGTGTCTCATTACACAACTCAATCCTTCTACAGCGGATACACTTTCATTCACTTGCCACAGATTCATTCCAGTCTGGTTGTTCCCCGGATTAGACATGCAGCCTAAATAGTGACTGATCTATTTACAGTTACGTCTTCATCTTGCCAACACAGTCTGTGTCATCTACTGGGTTTCTCTGCATTTTTGCACTCATCCACCCCTGTGCCCCCTCTCCGCCGCTCAACATCCCCTCCTTTTCCAAAAGCCACGTTTTGTCCCTTTTCTTTGGCGGGAGAAAAATGTTACACATTGTAAAGTTTACTCACTGTACAACACCCCACAGGGTTGGATTTCAGAGGCAGACTTTGTGTTTGAACTGCTCTGGCAATTAGCAGAGGATAGGCTTACAGCGCACCTACTGCACAATGGAGGCACTGGCCCAGTTGTACAAGCCCCTGTTCTTGTCCTGCCTCTCTCCATCTGTCACGCCTTTGGGACAGTGTGTGTGTGTTTGTGTTTGCATGTGTGCATGGACATTTATTAATTTGTTAGTGTTGGTGAAACCAAACTCAGAAAATGGTAGCACTTTAAGTCTCCCCATATTTTCATTTATAAGAAGCGTATAGGCCTAAACATAAAAAGGTTATGACACAATCTAATGTTGAATATGTATAATAAGCAGATATTAGTGATTATAACTATAAATGCTCCTGTGGGTACCCATAAGTGGACACAGGTGTTTATACAAATAATGAATGGCAATATGGTGAAACACAGTCTTAAAAATGTAAAATGTGTATTTATAGGAGAAATATTGTACAATAGTAAATGCATAAAAGTGTATACATCTGCCTATAACTACATTGTAGTGTGTTATAAACCAATTATTAAATACTCATATAGTCCTTATGCTAAATATAAAATGCTAAATATCGGGATTTCAAGTCAAGTGTTACCAATATCTTTCTGATTGACCTAAATATTTGCTAAATGCACTGTCAGCAACCACTCACATTTAACCAGAATTTCAACCAACCAGTAAGCCCACAGTCTGGGTCACAAGTGTAGAATTTTATTTATCTATTTATTTATTTATTGAATCTTTTCAGATGTTTATTGTGATTTTATGATCAGTTTTAGACCTATTTGGATGGCTTTCACTGCCATGCAGGAAAGGAAGAGGTTGTACAGGTTTCATACCAAGGAGAGTTTGCATATTCATATCAGCAAGTCACATTATTACACAACATTGTATTTGATAGTTGAGAAGCTCCACTAATAAATCAGTCTTGACCCCTCCATAAAGCCATCATAGGTCTACATTCTTGATGATACAGAGCAGTGTCTCTGGAATGAAAAACCTGACACTCCTCAGCTTTTTTATCACTTTATTTCTAATTCTGTGTATTGATAAAGTGTCATGAAAAAACTTAGACCCTTTCATGTGTAACATGTAGCAGCTCCACCCTTGGGCCTCCATAAATTTTGATGCCTCACTAACTGACACCAATATCTGACAGAGGATCCCTCAGAGGGAAGCTGCTACACAGATTTCTCCACTCAGTGCAGAGTCATAGCGCCCTCCTGTGGAAGGGAGGATAATAAGGTTGCCACCCCCCTACCCTCCCATGCAGAAAGGATACTTTATGCACATAGTGTACTTTCTTTATTAATTTTTAAAAATGACAACAGTGATTCCTCCTTTCATGATAAAAGTTTAAATAAGTAACAGAAAGAGACAGTGAGAATGAGGCAGAAAGAAGAGAGGAAGGGGAGGATGGTAAGATTTGACAGGGGGGGTGGTGGAGCTCAGAGCACCAGGCTGTTGTATTAATCTGCAAATTTTTTCAGATGACGCAAAGACTGTGACTTTGCCTCCTGTTCCCTCTCCCTCTTCATCGCCACGTCCCTCCTCTCTCCCTGTCTCTTCCCGAAGCCTCGCACTTGTCGGATGGGAGACAGGGACACACAGCAGGTAAGCTTGTCATCTTTATCCTATATGTGCGCTCCCATTCATTCACTGCTCACACATGTAATGGGTTTGTATGTGTCCTCACTTTTGACAGGGTTATTTTGATTTGTTTGGCATCTCATGTGTGATCATTGCCTTACTTTCTCCCTAGGGTAAAGATGAATTGGTGTATTTAGTGGTTTCGGAGATGTTTTGCCTGAGTTTCATTTTTGCTTGCAGTGATTTTGAATGAGCAGTAAGTCAGCGGTTCCGCTTTTGCAAAGTTAGCTGCAGAGGCGATTTGTGTTTGTGTTTGAACATCTGTAATATCTTATCAGTTATCAGCATTGTTTTAGCACATAGTCTGCTGTCAGAGGGAAGAGGATCAGAGAGATTTAAAAGCTGGAGTAAGGGGTTTCCAAGACGCCTGTTGTTCAAATGAGAAGATGGATTTACTGTACAGCGGGAATGAGCTGTGTGAAATTCATTCCGGCTGGAATGAGGAGTGACAGAGAAATTACAGCGGCAGATCAAAAAAGAAAAAAAGGGGAAAAAGAAAGGGAGCGAGAGGAGAACGACAGAGTTTATAAATAGCAGAGCTTTATAAGGGTGAGGAAAGCAGATGTGAGAGACAGTCTGTGCTTAAGAAGTTCAAACAACAGATTAATACACTCAGATTATCATCCGAGAGAGAGAGAGAGAGAGAGCAGGGGAGGGGGGTGTGCTTGGCGTGTATACACACACACAAACAGATGCAGACTAAATCATACTGACACGTGTGAAACTCACTTACCACACACACCCCATCTCGTAATTTTCTCTCAACCACGTTCTCCACCTAATCTCAAATAGTGACACTGAAAAAAATCCTCTCGCTGAAAGTTTTTCTGTATCTTCCTCTGTTTTTGTCCAAGCATTAATTCATTGAACTTTTGATAATTTCTTAATAACTTCAAGCCATTTATCAAGCAAAAATACCGTGCATGGTTCCAGCATCTCAGATGTGAAGATTTGCTGTTTTTTAAAATATCATTTTAGATTAAATATCTTTTGAGTTTTTGTTCTTTTGATCAGACAAAACAGGGAACAACACTGCCACTGTCACACTAAGCTCTGGGCATCCCTTCTACTCCAGAAGAGTTTAGGTTTGACAGTATTTATCAAATTTGAATTTAGCGCTGAATCTGATTCCTTTCATGAGCTACTTAGTTTAATCTTTCAACTGTTTTGATGGGCGAGCATTAAGTAACTTTTCTTGGCCATGAGGATGCTGTTTTAACCCGTGTGTAGGGATTTATGTGGTGTTTTGATGATGGTGGTGGAGACGCTGTCTAACACATTAGTCCAAAATCTTCTATAGGTGTTCGACTGGGTTGAGATCTAGTGACTGTGAAGGCCACAGTATATGATTCACATCATTTTTATAGTCATCAAACCATTCAGTGACCCCTTGTGCCCTGCGGATGGGGGCATGGTTATCCTGGGAGAGACCACTCCCATCAGGTTAGAAATGCTTAAAGGTGATCACTCAGGACAGCTTTGAATTGATTTGCAGTGACTCTTCCCTCTTAAGTGGACAAATGGCCCCAAATCACCAAATTCTGTTTTAAATTTTTGATTTGTCATGTTGCCACCTTTTACTTTGACAACACCTTTGCGCCCTCTTGGCATTATCTTAACCAGCTTCATGACATGGTCACCTGGAATTGTTTTCCAGCCGTCTTAAAGAAGTTCCCACATGTGCTGAGCACCCATTGGCTGCCTTTCCTTCACTTTGCCATCCAACTCGTCCCAAACAAGTTGGGTTGATTGTGGAATCCAGGTCGCACCCCATCACTCTTCTTCTTGGGTAAATAGCTCTTTAAGGGTGTTTTCACACTTGGTCCCTTTCAGTCATCCAAACCAAACTGGGACCATCTCCCAAGGGGGTCTCAGTTCGGCCCTTTAAGACCACTGTGCGGTTCACTTAATCTTTGCACTGTGAACACAAAGTGTTCCAGGTTGGTTTAATGGAGAACACAAAGTAACTGGGCATATGTACAGGGCATAACCAGGGTAGGACAGTAATGGCCGAGGAGACCAAGACGAGCAGGTAAGCAGACAAAACAACGGCAGAAACCAGGAGTCAGAGGACCAGAACAGATAGGTGAGTAGACAGGAGGACTACAGGAACCAGGAGAGTCAGAGGACCGGGATGACAGGTGAGTAGCAGTAACCAGGAGGATTAGTGATTAGTGGTTAACAATAAGAAAAAACAACTGATTGGAGTAAAGTACCAAATTAATGAGCAGTATGGTAGTAATACTGTTAAAATTCCTAATCATACTCTTATGAATGAGTAATTTCCCCAAGGAAGAAACCACTGCACTTCTCCACATAGAAAACCAAAACCACATCAAACCAGAACTGTCTATAATGCAAAGACACACTGAGGGTTTCCTTCAGTTTTCATCTCATGTGAGATTGAGGGGGTTCATTAGAACCCCACTGCAGTGCTGCATCAAACTGAAAAAGTTCTTTACCATATCCAATAAAAACAGATAAAACAGAGAATCCTTTGACATGAAATCCTTATGTGAAAGCAGTAAAGGTCTGAGAGCTCCAGAGACACTGTAGTATGAACAGAAAGAGAACTGAGCCCAGTCAATAAACTTTGATGGTACAAAGCTAAGAAGTACACTGCCAGAGGGAAAACAAATGCTACCAATTTTATGTAAAACAGATCTTTTTCATGGCTCAAGAAATAGGTTAACTTGCATGTTTTCTGCAACAGTGCAAGTAAATTAAGCCTTGAAAACGAATGCAGTTCCTACAGATGTTCCAACTTTTGTTGATGACTTACAACAACAAATTCTATTTGTACAAAGCTGGAAAAGACCACGTTACTGCACCTGCTTTAGCAA